AAAATCATTCTGAATTTTAGCCTGCAAGTCTGACATGGTATATACAACTAAAACCAGATTCCTAGTCTTGATAGTTATTGAGTTATATTAGAATTATCTCAAATTATTAATAGCCTACATGTAGTATAAAGTCTTTCTGAAAGATTGACAAACCCAGTAGGATAAGTAGGATGCCTTGCCTTGCCAACAATTTCAATAATTATAAAATGAAATGAAATTACTGGAGTTTTACGTCCAACTTTTCTGCATCATGTACGCTAATGAAGACAGTCAACGCCATGCAGGGTGCAATGGGGTAAATTTCAATAATTACAGTCAAGAAATAGAATTAAGTAAGAATAACAGGTATGCTTATCATTTATCATTGAGCTATCCATCTTCAGTAAGACAACAAATTCACATTCCTAAGAGCACATGCTTAATACATGTTTGACTATAGCATGTAATCTGAGATACTAAATTCTTCAACAGAAGTTACCAAACTTCATCTTACTTAAGAAGATCTAGTCAGACATGACCGGCAAATACAACCTGGAGACCATTGTAATAATGATCTGTATTCAGCTATAAAAATATTATCCAGAAATCTTGCATGAAATATAAATATTTATTAACTTATCTATCTTATACATCTCCTGTTGTAGCAACCTAAATACATCTATTAGTTTCAATGACTTTAGTTTCAATGACTTTGGTTTCAATGACTTTGGTTTCAATGACTTTAGTTTCAATGACTTTGGTTTCAATGACTTTGGTTTCAATGACTTTGGTTTCAATGACTTTAGTTTCAATGACTTTAGTTTCAATGACTTTGGTTTCAATGACTTTGGTTTCAATGACTTTGGTTTCAATAACTTTGGTTTCAATGACTTTGGTTTCAATGACTTTAGTTTCAATGACTTTGGTTTCAATGACTTTGGTTTCAATGACTTTGGTTTCAATGACTTTAGTTTCAATGACTTTAGTTTCAATGACTTTAGTTTCAATGACTTTGGTTTCAATGACTTTGGTTTCAATGACTTTGGTTTCAATGACTTTAGTTTCAATGACTTTGGTTTCAATGACTTTAGTTTCAATAAAATAATCATTCTTAAAGAACGCAAGATAAGTCCTGAAAGTGCTGGATGTGGTATCTAAAATTGGTCAAGTCATTACC